CTCCTCACAGAACTTTAACTCAGGAACTTAAACTCACGTTTTTTTATTAACAATAATGCCCAAAAGTCAGTAGTAAGTCCCAGTCACCCCAGCCCGGTGAATGGAGAAATGAAGGATGTTTTGTTTTCATGGTCTCCCGGAAAGACAGGCTCCTACTCTAGACCTACGGCTGCAGTGATCCAGCGGTGGAGAAGGTCGTCCAGCCAGGCCTGGGCAGCAACGTGATTGTTAGAGATGATGCAAAGTGGCTGCCATGGGGGATCTAAAGGAGACTGATTCTCGAAGCTCAGTGACTCTGCCCTGTGCACCTCCTGATTCTGTCTCAGCAGCAGGTCACACTAGCCATTGGCAGTGAGCAAAAGAAAGGAGTTGTCACTTGAAGAAGTTGTCAGTTGTGACATCCGGGAGTCCAAGCTCTCCTTTGAGGAGCCTAGATTCTGAGCACTGGGACTAAGCTCTCCCTGGTTCCTGGGGTGCAGGTCACCACTCACTGTTGGTCTGGGTTAGCATTCAAGGGGGACCTGAACCAGTCTATTAGTAGGAGGCAAACTCTATTCAGACCAGTACGGGGTTGAGATGAGGGCAAAGTTAGGGGGCAGAAGGAAAGAACTTAGCAGATCTGGGGAGGGGGGCTGTGGTTTACGGGTGTGTCTCTGAAAGGCCAGGCATGCTGGGAGTGTCAGCCAGGTGATCAGCTTAGAGGGATGATCTGGATTAATCCTCATAATCCCAGAGGTTAGGACTCAGCCTCACCCCCAATCCTATCCCAGAAGATCATCCTTTTTTGAGGACTGATGCAGCCATTTATCCCTCTTTAGCCTGATTTCTAAATGCTCAGAGCAACCATTAAAACATTTTTAAAATGAGCATTTGCAACATGCAGAAAAGTAAAGTTCAAAGACTAATGTAACAAACGTGTGCACACCAGACTGTTCATATCGTTTGATTTTTCATGGGATACCGGGGAGCGAACCTTGGACCTAGTGCATGGTAGGCAAGTGCCCTCCTACCCAGCCATTCTTAAACTTTACTTTGAAACAAATTGTATATTCTTATTAATTCTTTGAGAATTTCATACAATGTATTTTGATTCTGTTTCCTTCCCCCAGTCCTCCCGTGTCCACCCTCTTCACGCTCACCTCACTACTCCCAGCTTTGAGTTGTCTTTCTTCATTTCTTATTTTTTTAATCGAGTCCATTTTGTATTGCGCTCCTACCCTCGGGAGCCGGGCCTGTCCTGGAGTGTGGTTGGCCTACCAGGGGGTCACATCACTAAAGAAAACTGAATTTCTCTCTCCCAGAAGTAATTCTGGTTTTTACAGCTGTATTTTACATTTGCTTGTTTGGAGGCGCACGGGCATCCTGTACATCTCCATCTGTGCAGCACGCGTGTGAAGTGCCAGGAGTGGAGTTACAGAGGGCTGTGAGCTGCCATGTCCGTTCTGGGGTTGAACCCCGGTCTCCTGGAAGAGCAGCCAGTGATCTCATTCACTAAGCCATCTCTCTGGGACAATTACTATCCTGCCGAATTTGATTCTGAGGTAGGTAAGCACAGAGAACAGTGTAGCAACTTGGGACCCTGTTTGGGTTTAGTTATGTACCCTCCTCCCTCCCTCTTGTGATGTGCTTGGCAGCCTGGTTCCTTCACCTGCATGTATTGTGTATACACAGCCCTCTTCACACAATGCACCTGCAGCCGTGGACCCCTACCTACATCAGGGTACACACACACCACTCTTTGAACAGCAGTTTAAGTTTCTCCATCCCGGGCTGAAGAGATGGCTCAGAGGTTAAGAGCATCAACTGCTCTTCCAGAGGTCCTGAGTTCAATTCCCAGCACCCACATGATGGCTCACAACCATCTGTAATGAGATCTGGCACCTTCTTCTGTATACATAATAAATAAGTAAATAAATAAATAAATCTTAAAAAAAAAGTTTCTCCATCCCTAACAACTATCCAGTGTTTTATTCAAATGGATTCCCAATGGGGCTGGAGAGATGTCTCAGCTGTTAAAGGCTAATTTTACAACAACAATAAAAGGCAAATATATTCCCAATACATCTGAGTAGAAAGAACAGAAAGACAGTCCGACCAGAACTGGGCTTTGGGTGTGTGCCCACAGAAAGGTAAAACTGTGTCCTTGAGTAAACTTTTAGGGAGAATTCTCTATTTGTCATCTTATGCCTATGTGTAATTGGGTGCCTCTATAATTAAAATCAGATGCATTATGGAAAGGGGTATGTGAAAAATAATTATATGACCTAACCTATTAATCAAAACAGAGAGCTACTCTGATTATGCACTTTAGTGACTAAACTCCTCTCGAACCCCATAAAGGGAAGCCTCAAGTCATAGTTGGGGTCCTTGAACTGTCTCTCACCCTGTGGGCCACTGATCCCATGGATTTCCTTCTGATCCATACTGTTTGCTTTGCTTTTGAATAAAGTTTCCTTGCTGCTTTGAAGATCTGTGTCAGCCCTTATTTAATTAGCAGACTGGAACCTGGAAAAACCCAACCCTGACCATCCTGGGTTTGAAAGTTGTCCTCTAGGGCTGGAGAGGTGGCTCAGAGGTTAAGAGCACTGACTGCTCTTCCAGAGGTCCTGAGTTCAATTCCCAGCAACCACATTGTAGATGGCTCACAACCATCTACAATGAGATCTGGTGCCCTCTTCTGGCCTGCAGGGATACATGCTGTATAATAAATAAATAAATCTTTAAAAAAAAAAAAAAAAAGAAAGTTGTCCTCTAGCCAGGCATGGTGGTGCACGTCTTTAATCCCAGCACGTGGGAGGCAGAGGTAGGAGGCAGAGGTAGGCAGAGCTCTGTGAGTTTGAGGCCAGCTCTGATCCATAGAGCTAGTTCTGAAACAGCCAGGGCTACACAGAGACACTCTGTCGACACTCTGTCTCAAAAAACCAAAAGAAAGAAAGTTGTACATATATATTCACAAAAATTGCATAATTTTGATTTGTGTGGTTTAGAAATCTGTCTAAACAATGTTACATTGTCCACCTTCATCTGCAGACCTTAGCCTTGTGGGTATCCATGGTGTATCCATACAGCTGTATTCATCCTCTAGTGGCCCTTTGAGCTGCTTGTAGTTTCCATAGTAAAGTGAATGTTGCAAATGGCAATTCTGTATCTGCCTTCTTGGCACTGCGTGACTGTGTCCCAAGGGCAGATACACAGAAGGGAATTTCTGGGTCACGAAATAGGTGCTTCTAGATTTTACTAATTGTAGCCAGATTACTCCATAAAGTAGTTGGGCCAATTTAAAGGCCACAGTTTGTGGCCTTTATTTCTTCATTTCCCAGATGCCGCTCGTATAAAAACTGCTCATTCTAGTCTCCTTGTACATTTTTCTACAATTTTTTTTGTCACTTCCTTTTTCGATTTGTTTTGTTTTTGAGATGATCTCAAAAACCTTGGCTAGCCTAGAGCCCGCTCTGTAGACCAGGCTGGCCTCGAACTTACAGAGACCTGTCTGCCTCTGCCTCCCAAGTGCTAGGGTTAAAGGTGTGTGCGCCACCACACTGAGCTATGTTCTTTGATCCTTAAGTCTGCAGTCACCATGCTTCTCTAGCAAAAGGAAGTGGCTTAGCATATGCCAGCAATCTTCTCTCCCGGTACCCGTATTTCAATCTGGTATTTTTGGGTTCAACTTGTTTCTGAACCCACTAAGACTGTTCACCACCATCATTGTCTGTAGTCTACCACCATCCCCCTCAGAACGTGGTTTGTTTAGATTCACTTTTTTCTTTTTCTTTCTGGTTTGTTTTGTTTTGTTGTTTGTCTTATGTTAGGACTGGAGCCCTAAGAATGACCTTGAACTTCTGATCCTCCTGTCTCCATCTCCCAAGTGCTAGGGTTCCAGGTGTACCCCACCATACCCAGTTTATGCACTAGAACCCAGGCTTCCTGCAGCCAAATCCTATAATCTTTTTCCTTTAAATCTCTACCAACCGGGCCCCAAAGGTATCTCCAGCCTCACCGATGTGCCTATCAATTCCTCTGTTCACTTTTGCTTGCATTCTGTTCCTTCTTGTTTCTGTTTCCTTTTTATGAAGTATATCTATTTGCAGCATGTCAGTGAAAGTCGTTGACTGTCAATTATTCTCAGTCTTTCTCTTAAAATGCCGGGATTTTATACTCCTTAAATGGAAGTTAGGTTTGAATAGATTTTCCTTTCTTGGACCTTTTGTTTTGTTTTGCTGTCTGTTTTTTTTTTTTTTTTGAAACAAGGTCTCACTCTGTAACCCACACTGGTGAGGAACTTGCTAGGTAGCCCAGGCTGGCCTTAAACTCCAGAGCTGGCTCTGTGGACAAAATACTGTGTAAGCATGAGACCTGAGTTTGGATGCTCAGAACTCACTTAAAAAGCCGTGTGTGGCAGCATACAACCGTAACTCTAGCCCTGGGAAGTAGAGACGGGAAGTGAATCCCAGAGACCTGCTGCTCAGCTAGTCTAGTCAAAATGGCAAGCTCAGGTTCAGGGAAGACCCTGTCTTAGAAAATAAGATGAAAAGAAATAGAAGACACTGGA